AAGTATTTGAGACTAGAGGGAGTGGCAGGGCAGGCTATATAGTACAATCAGAGAGACGCAGTTATTCTGTTAAAGGCAAGTGAGATTTCTACTGTAACTTCAGTAACAACATGCTTTGTAATTTAATTATCTTACTATACAAAGTCTGTGCAAACATTAAATAATGTAATAATAATTAATAGATCTACTGAGGCTTCTTCATATGGAAGATAACATTTAACATATTTTACCTCTGTTATTTTCTCTCATGTAATGTAATTAACATTAAAAGCCTAAGGTCCCATTCCTGCAAAGACTTACACACATGAGTAATCCCTGTGAAATAATTGGGATCACTGAAGTATATAAAGTTAACCATGTTATTAAGTCTTTGCAGGATCAGGGTCAAAAGTGCTTACTATCATTAGCTAGAGCATTAAGTGCCAATAACAAACTCAGCGCTGTTCAAAACACAGACAAAAACACTGTAATTATTGTATTTATTTTGGGACAAGTCACTGTGTAATGGTTTCTAAGGGAAAATGGTGCCTTCTTCCCAGAAGCAGGCCAGCTTGGTGTAAATGACCAGTTAGTTACCACTCATGGTGTAGGAAAGGAACTAAAGTTTTATTTCTAAGAAATCCTATTAGGAAATCATAGGGTGCAGAGAAGAGCAAAGAGCTCCAGGTCTCATCACATTTCCTACCAGTAGCACTTGGAGGCTATTGAAGACTACAGGGAGCTAAAAAAGTGCCAAGTTTTGTTATTATGATTTTATTATTATTGCTACATAAGTTATAATTAATGACAATGCAGAACTTGAATGCCAAGGGAAATTAAAGAGAGAAAAGACCTATCAAAACTAGTATGAAAAATCTTCCAAAGCAGTACATTTTCCTTCTAGCTCCTTCTATCTTACAGTTTGTTCCTTGTCCTCACATTTTACTGTATTTGAAATTAGGCATGATGATAAAATTCTATGGCTAACAGTGTTTCATATTGGTAGTCCAACTAGTAGCCAGTCAACTAAGGAAAGGGGGAAGATATAATTTAGGACATGTTTTCTGAATCCTACGAGTTAATATTTTAAATGTTTTTGTACTACCACACTGCAGATATCTGTCTCCATTTCAGAGATGGCAATGGGGTTATGTACCTGTCCCAGATTCCAGGAACAGTGCAATTAAGACTTGCTAGGGAACTGCATTGATTCATTTGTATGCTGTGTAAGAGAGACTTTGCTGGCTTTGTCTCATTCCCACTGAATGAATGGGCCTGATCCTGTAACTCTCACTTCCACAAGTACTTATTCCTGCTTCTGATTTATCTTGGTAGTGAAGACTTCTCTCATACTAGGAAGGGTTGCAATATTGCTACCATAGTGTGAATGTACGCATCCAGAGCTATTTATTGTTTCATGCAATTCATAAATCGTATCTTTGTGAAACAGCAGGGAATGCATTAACATGCTCCAGGTTATTAGTGGCAATTTTGATCCAGCCAGCCAGGGCTGCCACTGGAAGATTCTGCAGCCCAGACAGTGCGTGAATGTTCATGTTTGGTAAATTAACCAAGAATAGAGACAGTGTTAATATTGCAGTTCTGCATCATTCATGACATATGAAAAATGTTGCACAACAGTGCTCCCTGGAGGCTGCAAGCATAAAGTATTGAATATGCAACACAAGCCCTGTCAGACACACTGCAGAATCAATGCTGATACCAATCACTGGGCCCTATACCAATTTCAGAAATAGTATGATGAATACTCTAATTAGATTCTCATTTAGTGTGTATATAATGGGAACCTCATTTCACATTAGTTCACGTTACCAGAAAATAATGGCACTTATTAGAAGAGGCCACTTTGTCCTTCACTGGAAGAGCAAATTGTACAGGTGGAATTTACTTTATGTTTCATTGCGCGCCTCCAATGTACACATATTCAGGGTCCATTATCTTCTCATTGATGAAAGGGAGGGGTTATGCATGTAGCCACCATTAATAGTCATGAGAGTTATTCTTGTTAATCTCCCATATAACCATGGCAGGACAATAGACCGCTTATTAAGTAAGTACCAAGGCTGGAACAGGCATTGCACTGAAAATGATCAGCATATTGTCTCTGTGGGTTTCAAATGTAAATGTTAAAGGACTGCTCTGAAGGGTCTAAAGTCACCGATGAAAAAGAAATGAGTGATTGTGTGAATGTGCTCTCAACGTTTGGCTGCGACCCTTACAAATCAGTACCAGCTGCTTTTATCATATCATCAGCTATGTCATCACCGTTAGAGAGGATTTTGGGGTAGCCATGTATGGAAATCACCTTCACCGCTCAAGTAAAATAAATGCAAAAAGAACAGGAGTAATTGTGGCACCTTAGAGACTAACAAATTTATTAGAGCATAAGCTTTCGTGGGCTACAACCCACTTCTTGTTAGTCTCTAAGGTGCCACAAGTACTCCTGTTCTTTTTGCGGATACAGACTAACACGGCTGCTACTCTGAAACCTGCAAAATAGATGGTGTAGCTTCAGACTATTCGCTACTGGACCAAACTCCCCCCCCCCCGGGGCCTGATCCTGCAATCCTGTCTCTTGTGAGTTCTCCTATTCAGGCGGGGAGGAGTCCCACTGACTTCAGACTGAGTGCCAGAACTGGGCCCAGGAGCCTGGATCAGACTCCAGTGAGGTCTGTCCCTGTGTCTCGGGGTGTCTCTTTGGGCAGCTGTCTGTGTCTGTGTGTGTCCCTCTCGGATCCTGGGTCTGTCTGTCCGGCCAGCAATGTCTGTCTGGGGCTTTCTCCCTCCTTTGTCTGTGTCCCTGGCTGCGTGTGTCTCTTCCTCTCCCGTCTGCCTGCCTGCCTGCCTCCCTCTGGGGTCCGCCCCCTCCCCATCTCTCGCCGGCCGGGCCCGAGGGGGTTAACCTTACCCCTTACCCAGCATGCTTTGCAAACCTGCAACGTAGCCGGGGCCGGCGGCGGCTGCGCGGTGAGGAGCCGGGGGAGAGCGAAAGCCGGGGCTGCCCGCTGCCGCAGGAGGTACAGAGCCGGCCCCGGGGGCAGGGACCCCCCGGCCCCGGGAGGGGCGGCCGAGCTCCAGCCCCAGCCGGGGGACCCCGGCCCGCCCGCCTTGGGAGATGCCCGGCCGCCCTCAGCCGCGGCCTCTCCTCAGACTCCCCTTCGCCCCGGCCGCCCGTCCCTACCTCTCCCCGCCCTCGGGGCTCCTTGGCCCGGGCCCCCTCGGCCCTGGCCGGCCTACCTCCCTCCTCCCACCCCCGGTTCCCCTCGGCCCTGGCCTCAGCCCCCCCCTCGGCCCTGGCCTCAGCCCCCCCGACCCCTGTAGCCGGCCCCCCTCGGCCCTGGCCTCAACCCCCTGCCCCCCATCGTTTTCAGCCCTTCCCCCCCCCGTCCGGGAGGGTTCTGCGGGAAGCTCGCTGCAGCCCCCACCCGGACCCCTGGTCCGGGGACGCGGGGAGCCAGAGGCAAGCCCCGGGCTTGAGGTCCTGCCCCTGGGTGTCTCCAGCTGCGGCTGTGACAGCGCCTTGCCAGCCACTGTTACTGCTGCTGGGTCGTGTCCCTTTGCTGGGACAAGCCTTGCAGATGGTAGCCCCCATCCATCCATCAGTGCAGAGCGGGCCCCAGATCAGCCACGCTCTGGGTAGAGTGCAGCCTTTCCCCAGTGGTATTGATGGCTTGTTCTTGTGCTTTAAAAGCAGAAAGGAAAAATCGTGTTGCTAAAAAAAATACTGTTTCAAATGAGACTGTCCACTGTATCTGTTTTTAAGAGCACCGCTCTTCTGTCTCTCTCTCCCCCTTTCCCCCCCATAAATCTTCTAGAGAGGAGAAGCCTCCATCCTTATTAGGAATCTGGCCATTCGGGGAGAGCGGGGCCCCGGCTGGGCTCGCCGCCCTCCCCCCGGCGCTCCCTGCCAGGGGGCGGCGGGAGGCTTTTTTGCCTGGGGCGGCAATAAAGCCAGAGCCGGCCCTGCCTGGATCTGAGAATCTCCGTTTACAGGCTTCACTGGGATGTGGATTAAGAATCTCTTCCACCTTCTCATCTTGAGCTTAGTTTCAGGTAAAATGGTTGTGCTGGTCACTGTGGAAAAGCATCTAACTTGAAAAAATGGCTTGAGAATGTTTGTCCAACAATTAAACCATTTTAAAAAGTTATGCCCCACAGACTGATACCACCATCTTACCTAAGAGATCTTTAATCCCAATTAAGTCTGTAAACTAAGATATCTGGAACCTATCCCATCACATGGTTTGCTTTTTGTATAGTAACTGAGTTTCAACCCTGTGACTAGTCCACCCTGTCAGAGTTTTAAAGTCCTACTGTAGCTGTTTTAAACATTGAACATCATAATTGTACTTCTAAATAAGGTACTGCTACTACCACTTCATTTATTTGCTTGTAGGAAAACAAAAGGATGATTAATAGATGGTTTGGGTAAATAAGACAATAAGCATGATTCTTCAGTGCTGAGGCAGTCAGCATGGGTGATATCCTGGTTTGTGGAATCAATCATTGCTGTAGGAAATGCAGAGTACATTTTTGCTCTCCAGTGTGGAAGCAGATGACTTGAATATTCAAGACCAGGAAACAAAACATTCCAGGGTACTTAATATACTGATCCATTGAAAACTTGCTTGCTGTAGAATGTTAGCTGGCACATTTAGTCTAAAATTTCATAGTTAATTTGTATGTGTGTTTGTCTGAATTATGTATTTATGGTAAACTCTCTTTTCCATTCAATATTTAATCTTTTCCTCCATAATATTGGAGGGAATACTTTAGAGTTACATTCCTCAAAGAAAACTTATTATCACAAGATAAATGTTACTTTTCTTTATAATTTGTTTTTTGCCTTTTCTGCATTTATAATTCGTAGAAAATCAGTAAAACAGTGTTTAGTGTACTGAAGAATAGAGGCAGTAGTGATTAGGTGACTGCACAGAGGTTCAGTAATTCAGTTATACTGTAATTTAAAGTGTTCTGTGTCCACAATGCAGGTTCAAGGAGCACAACTTCCAAACAAAATTACAAATTCCAATTGTTCTTGCCAGTTCCTCAACTGAATTCCGGAAGATGACTAATATCTGTAAATGTGTGTGTGAAACTGTGAATTCTTAGTATATTACTGTGGTTGTGGCTTAACTCATAGACTACAGCAGAACCCCGTTTATCTAATCTAATAGGGACCCGGGGCCAGATAAAATCATCAAAAATCCGGATAAACCGGAGAATGGGAAAGTGCAATGATGCAACGCCATCTAGCAGCCACAGGAGATATTGCCCCCTTCTGGACCTCTGTGCTCTGGTTGTCGGTACAAAGAGTTGGATAATGGAGGGTTGGATAAACAGGGTTCTACTGTATTTCTAGGTTGACTGTAATGACTATGTGATGCTTGGAACAGATGAACCCATAATTGAATCACATTCACATAGAAAATAAACATTGGGGGACTAGATGACTAGGGATTTAGAGGACTTCTAGTAAAGAATACTGGAGAGAGACATAGTCTGAGCACAAAACTGGGAGCCAGGGACTTCTGAATTCTAATCCTGGTTCAATACGTCTCTCGTTAGCCCTGGGTAATTCACTTAACCTCTCTCTGCCTCCCTTTCCCTGTCTGTACAATGGGTATTCTTGTCTACTTCACAGAGGTGCTGTGAAGATTCATGACTTCCATAGCACTGTAAAGTTGCTGTGATCATGGGAGTCACAACTTTACAACTACCCCTGCAATGCTTTCTCTTGAGTAATGGAATCTCACTCTATAGCTAAGTCATCTGAATCAGGAACTTAAGTTCCTTCTGCACTTGGGTCCTCTGCATTTTGCCAGCTAGGTGGAGCATTGTGGGGAGGGGGAGAGCAGCTTTGCAGACTGACTTTGGTTTTTCAACCTCCCACATCAAGCAGTGCTGATGAGCACCATTGGTGGGGGCGGTAGGGATAGGAGAGCAGAAGCAAAGTGTGTTGAGCAGGGCAGTCAGATCTCTCCCTCCTTAACCAGTGCAAGTCTAGGCCAAAAGACTTGCTTCAGACTCTTCCTCCTCCACCAGAACCACAGTGCATCTTGGCCAGAGGAGGAGCCTAATTTCCGGAGTGGGGCATCTGTTTAGATCTCTGGCCAATAAGGCTAGAAGGTTTTCTGATTGGAGCAGACAGCCCCCATCTCTTTTCCCCACTATTCTGAATGAAAACCTGCTCTAGCATTTCTAGATGAGTGAGAAGTAATGATATAGGACATTCAAAGGAGGGCAGGCAAATAACACCAGAGAGAGACTACATCACATACCTATGCACCATTCTGCAAATTTGAAAAAACAACCCTTTAAAAGTGGAGGGAGAGTTGAAAGAGAATAGAAGAAAATTATGTAACTAAATATATTCCCCACCCTCATTATCTATCAACAAATTACCACTGTTAATTAGATTAATATCTTAAATTCAGAAATAAAACACCTAAAACATTTTAATCTCTTCTTCAAACTAGACCGGGAGTGTGTGTGTAATGGAAGGAGGGAGATTCCCCCCCCTTCCCACCAATGACAAAAGAGAAAATGAAGCCCTGTACATCAGATCCATGGAAGCTTATTTGCTGCAGTTTCTGACTAGATTATGATCAAAATATATATCAGTATATTTCCTTCTTCAATGGATGTGAGCAAGGTACATAAGGGAAGCTTTCGTTTCAGAATCCCATTGAAGAAATAGTGCAGTTAATCAGAAAAAAGATTAGTTATTCTTTTTTCATTATACAAGACACAAAAGCTGTTTGTCCTGATTAATGAACCAAAAACAACAACAAAAATCCAATAAATTTAAGTTTGAGACAGGGCAGCTGAAATATTGTGCTTCATCAAGCATTAATTACAATGTAACCTAATAACACTCTTATATTTTTAAACAGAAAAGCCTGTAGAGTTGGTAATCTTTCTTGGCTCAGTAAAGAATAACTAATGATGATCTGATTAATGATTAAAAAAGAGCAAATGCTAGATGATGAGTATAAATTTAAAAACAGAAGATTGTCCTCCAAATGGCATGAAAATAAACACCGCTATACAAACGTTACATCCTTTACTGTATTATTTTCAATGGCCATGAATTAAAAGGAATGCCTAATATAGATTGAAATCCTGCCAAGATATAAATAACCTCTTCTTTCAATAGCGATAACGTGTAGCTGCAATTTTGTATTTATTTTTTCATGAATTACACTGAAATAGCTGGTATTTGGATACCAGCCCTTGGCCTTGCACAGCTTCGCTGTACCACTGCATAATTAGTGCTATAATTCACAGGAAAGGTGGTCCAGGTTAGTGTCTACTGTAAACCTGAATGGCAGCGAGGACACAAATTAAAGATTTAAGGGATTTTTTTACAGGGGGAAACACAATGTAAAGGTTGGAAATTGGTGTGACTTTCTCCAGTTGTGGACATGTCTGTGTTTTGGAATGGCACTTAGCACTTACATAGTCGTTGACACTTTAAAGTGTTGTGAATATTAACTTCCTCAGTAAGTTGGTGAATTGAGTAAATTGTATTCTTCTCATTTTACAGAAGAAGAGAAAAGGATTTAGCTATTTGCTTAAAGGAACACACTGAGTCAGAGTAAAACATTTAATTAGAGCTGCCTCAGGCCTGTGCGTAGTCCACTAAACCACACTTCTCAAAAACAATAATATGGAAGTGTCAGAGATGGCTGAGGCAATCCCCTTTCCTTTTCAAAGACCTTCAAATTTGAAAACAAGTCTTTGATTTTTTTTTTTTTTTAATAGGTTCAGACATTGACCCATTCTTTTCTGCTTTTTTCCTAGTCCCTCTTGTATTCTGAATGTAGTGCTCTGCATTGCTCCTAGGTCAGCCTGATATTTCTGTGTCTATTTCTTAGTGAATTTTGAACGTTCAAATGACGTTTTTGGTAGGGAAAATGTTGGGGTGTGAAGGACAAGGAAAAAAGAGGTGGTAGTGTTTAAAGTACAGCAAAATAAATACCCTACAGCTCTACTTATTATAAGCTTTGAATAATTTTCTCTTATCTAAATTGTAATGTTATATTTCACTCTACGTCCTAAGCAAATAAATTTTATGTATGTTGCAGTCTAACTTATGAGAATGTGTTTAATGTCTGTCAGTGCTTCAGATAAATGTACTACATATAAATCCAAGTTCCTTGCTGAATGTATATCCTAAAATCTGTAGTGTAACTTTGCTTCATGCACTTTAGCAGCTGTTCCTTTTCATGCCACTTGCAAATTGTCAAGTCTATAGTACGATATTGCAGACCTGATCAGAGCTTAAAGTATATTTCACATAAAAACTTACAATAGTCAAGATATATTTCTTAAAAATCTAATTTTTAAAGGGAAACTGTCAACCTTTTTCAAAATTATTTTTTCATAAAAAGCAAGTTTCTTATAGAGCACCCTTTAAATAGCATGTACAGAATTTTTAAATTTACATTTTTTTTAACGTTTCTGCTCCTTTGCTGGGACACTGGTTAGGGTTTATAAGGGTCTTTAAGCAGGGGGCGTGGGTGGGTTTGAGAGCAACATCATCAAAAGTGTTTTGAGTTGCCTCTACTGCCGCCCACTACATTTTTATGTGTATGCCTGCCTGCCTACCTATTACTGTGTACCTCTTCAGGTTTTGGATCTGCTGCTGTTAACCATGTTCTTGTAGAGCTATGGAAGAGCAGGCATCTGAGCCCCCTGCAGCTCTTCATTAGTGATATCCCATTGATACATTAAACCGCAACTGTAACTGACTATGCAAAGTGCCAAATGCACACAGTAAACTGAAAAATACATAGTTTTCCTTTAATCCGTTATATTAATCATAAGTGTTTCTTGTAACAAGGAACAAATACACAATTGACTGTGCCTCTTCAAAAATTTTAGATTGTAAACTCTTTGCTGCAGGGATAGTCTTTGCATCTTGTACAAGTGTTGAGTATTTGATCAGCACTTAATATGTAATTTGTTTTAAAGTCTTTAAAATTGTTTTTCCTCCATTACAGAAACATGGCAAGTCCAAGAACAAGGAAAGTTCTTAAAGAAATCAGAGTGCAAGATGAGAACAATGTAAGAAAGTCTATATATATTTATATATATTGTTTGAAGCATTTAATTAAGCAGCAACAAATACTTTTCAGCCCATTTCAGACAATTGAATTTGTTCCCTGGAGATATTTTATTAATGGTATTAGCATAGCCAATAAATTTTATGGTACAGATGTGGATATGTATATATTTTCATTAAATTGTATTACAATAAGATTGATAAACTGTCAAGTATTGGGCATAATTCCTTTGAGTGGTTCTAGTGATTCAGTAAACCACTGGTGGTTTGTCAGCCAAACCCTCAGAGAATTTTGTTTTGGGACATTGTTGTATATTTTAAAAATAGGAACTTTCTATTTAAAGCATTTTATGTTTATACTCTAATTATCCAAACAAAATAATCTTGTCAGTGTGCTCCATATTTATGGTAATCTGCCTTTGAAGTCCTCCTATACACCTTAGGGATTTGTAATGATATTTGAAACTCTCAATCAGTTGCCCCCACATGACATGATGACAGACTATATTTAGAATCCCTGCTATAGAATAACAGAAGCTGCCCAGTACACAAGTATGTTTATTTTTTTTTAAAATGCCTGCCTGGATTGGTGCTAGAACCATGCTAGTTGCAATTATGTTTGTGACTGGCTGTCAGATGGTCAGATCACAGGACTGAATTGATGTTCCTAACCCTTTCTCCATGACATAGAACTAATTCCACCTAAGTTATTCTTTACCTGTTGGACTGTTTTCTCCCCCTCAAAACAATCTTTAAAAAGCATAAATTTTGATTGTGTACGTTTTGTTCTTTATGGACATGTGAAACAAAGTTATTTCATAATATATTTATATGGTGCCCTGAGGGTAGAGTGTTTAATTCAGTCTTTCTAGAGATAGAAACATCAGTTTAGCTTGTATTTCTATAGTCTGAGTCAGTTAACATGAATGGTTCTGCCTCTAAAACATTAAACCCTCAAGGCTGTTTCTAAATGACTACGTAATGGAACTTATGTACACGAGGAAGAAGTCTTTAAACACTAACGACTCCTAATTCTGAATTTATTTGCTGCAAGTAGCTTTTTTTATGATTTTCTGTGTCTGTACTTTGAAAGTTTTACCCGGAGCAAATGATGACTGAGAGTTATGGACAATATTTTTTCTCTTATAGGTCTGTTTTGAGTGTGGTGCATTTAACCCCCAATGGGTGAGCGTGACTTATGGAATCTGGATCTGTCTGGAATGCTCAGGAAAACACAGAGGCTTGGGAGTTCACCTCAGGTCAGTCTTGTGAACGGGAACAAACAGACCAGATGATTTACAATTTTCTCTTCAGGGGAAAAAAATGGAAGTCATTGCAAGGAGTATTTTTTTGGATATAGCTATGGAGATGCAAGTTTGCCATCTCCCTTCAGCAGAACAGCAAATCTAGAATTTTGCAAATCAGAATATGACATATTGCTAATCCACTGTGGAATCTAGAAACCAAAAATGAGTTAGTAGTATAAGTACACACATGATTAAGTTAGGTTACCTCAGTATGTTACCTTGCCATGAACCAAATGTAATGTTATAGAGAGATATAGGAGATCTTTAGTCCTATCAGTTGTTCATGTTGTATCCTATTTTAAATCTATTCTTGTAGGCTAAAGAACTCTAGTGGTACCAGGTATTTTTAAAATTGAACTAAGACAATCGTAATACTACTATAAAGCATGTATGTAGTGCTATAAATGTACCCAGTGCATTACAGAACATAGAATGTATGTTGTTTATAGAGGTTCCTGTTGAGTACACAAAGTGCTGTATATTCTTCTAAAATGAGCCAATGAACAAACAACCTCTCCCCCTTCCAACACACACGCATGTGTATGGTCCTGGGTCTAAATCTAACACAGAGAGGCAGAATACAGAACAATTATTCAGATAAGGGAGGGAAAGGAGAATTCAGGAATGCGAACACTAATACCAGGGGGACACTTAGAAGTGGTTTTTAAAGGATGATTTGAAGGTGAGTAGGGAGTCGAGAGTGTTCAGTGAATAAGAAGTGGAAATTATTCCAACTGCTACATGAAAGAAGGAATGAAGCACAGAGACTAAAGGAGATGTGAGGAGGGTAAGGACCAAGAGAGGATAGGAGGAAATGAGCATAGAGATGTAGATGGAACAAAGTTTTGTAGGGCCTTGATGAAGAAGAGATCTCCTTTACCTTTTCTTTGATGGAATATTTAAGCATTAACTATAGGGGCCTATTTGTTTTTCATGTGGAATAATGAGCAGCAGCACTAATTTATGGCCCAAAGCAAAGCTGAGGGACACTAATCCCAGTCATAAATGCCCTTGGATGTGGTTATTTTAGATATAAGACAGGCAACTTGTTGAGTACCTGAAGTTCATTCTAAGTGCACTCCTGAGGGATGAGTGGTACTAAAGAGTAGCAAACAGTTTGGAAAATGTCTGGAAAATATTTTCTGTTAAGTGATTGTGATAGGCAATTCAGAATTTGGGTTGGGATACCTACATTTTGTTTCATTTGCACGGACTGTTTGTCTCTTTTTTAAGTGGAACTCACTGTTCAATTTTTTTTTTTCAACAGGGAAAACTCATAAGGCTTTTTTGCTATAGTGCTTTTCCTCCCTGCAGGGTAGGAAGCAATCTCGGTAAAAGTGCAACTGCTAGCAGTGGCATTTCTAAAGGCTTAATTTTTGGTATAGCTGCCAATGAGATGTTTTAATTTTGTTTTATGGTATATTATAATAACGGGATTATAGCAATAAATAAAAAGTGAGGTGTTTCCTCTCTAATTCTGATTTCCAGCTTTGTGCGCTCTGTCACTATGGACAAGTGGAAGGACATTGAGTTGGAGAAGATGAAGGCTGGTGGTAATGGCAAATTTCGAGAATTTCTGGAGTCTCAGGAGGATTATGATCCCTGCTGGTCAATGCAGGAGAAATACAACAGCAAAGCTGCAGCTCTCTTTAGAGATAAGGTAAACACAGATGAATAATAACTTGTGCATCCTTAATGCTTCCCATTTGAAAATCTCAAAGCATTTGACAAACACTTATTAAATCTTGCAACATCTTTGTAAAAACTTGTTGCAGTTCCTGAGAGAGGATAAGACTTGCAGTTCTGTAATCTGCAAAAAGCTTGTTCTCTAGAAATTTTCATTAATGTCCTTGTTTTTTGTTTGGCCATGGTCGCCAGATTATCAATGGTGTAATTTGTTGTAGCTCAGTTGAAGGTAATGGATCTATGCCAGTTTACACCAGCTGAGAGCTTGTTATTGCATCAGACTATTTTACACAAAAGGGCCCAATTAATTGCCAGCACTTCTTTTTTGGTGGATGCAAAATGGCAGATTACTCTGCCAAGAGCAAGTGGGACTATAAAGAGCAGCAAAATCCATGCCTGCACTGGAAATGTCATTCCAAAAGGAGGCTTTGTGCAATTTCTCAAAATAAAACCCCTCAGAATTCAAATACGCACCTGGAAATTGCAGAGACCTGAACACACAGGGGTTGTGCATTTATGCTGGCCTGCACCACTAAGTTGAGAAACTGCGTTCTGCATAGCTGGAGCTCTTACACAGTTTTGAAATTGGTTTGCCAGCAGAGGTGTAGTTGTGCCACTTATGAATTGCTGGTCTGGGACACTCTGCAGCTAGAAGAGCGAACATCTCAATGGCTTAACATTGCCTAGTTTCTCATACTGTAGTTCTTAGATCTTTACTATTTGGGGGAGTTGGGATGGACAGGTCTCTAGCAGGACAGGGAAGAAGAGGGTAAATTGGGCCACTTTGGGAGCTAAGGTGAAGAGAACAGGAGGGAGAACTTTGGAGGAAACAGCTGAGGGAAAGTCCAGGAAAAATTGTAGGAAAATCTCTGAATGGACAAAGCCCTGCTTTGGCTGTCTCTGCAGCTGCTCTCATTGGCTGGTTGGTTCCTCCCAGCAGTTTTTTCCCAAGACCATCTGAGAAAGAGTCACCACCTGAATGCTACTCTCCCCACAGTGAAGGAGGTCTTCCTTGCACAGGTCTGGGGCTGGGAGGAGGAGCAGCAGCATCAGCTAAACACCATTTTACTATCTGTCCCATGCAGTAGTCCCTACTTTGCCTGCTTCTGCAGCTGCTCCAACTGACTGTTGACACACTATTGAAGGTTATTTCTACATTTTCATTTTACTTGAAAATTAGGACCTTACCATGTTCTTAACACTTTCTCCCCCTCTTTAGGTGGCTACTTTAGCTGAGGGCAAGGAATGGTCTCTTGAAACTTCTCCTGCCAGAAACTGGACTCCACCTCAGCCCAAGATGGCCCTGTCTTCAGCTCATCGGTATGTATTCTAGTTATCCAATTCTCATACAGTTTGATCTCGCTATCAAGCATGACAGTTGAATGTCAGTTGTTCTTATTCTGCTGACAGACTATTTGTCTCCACTGGCAGCACTCTTTGCTAGAGATGAGATGCCTAAGGTAGAAGAACTTTCATTTCCATAATCGGGTTAATGTTTTTTACTCTCCTATTTCTTTGGAAGCTGTGTCTGAGATCACAGGTGACAAAGACATTTTGTAACTGGGGAACTATTATCTGCCTCAGATTTGTTTTCCTAGATATTTACCATTTTACTACTATTACCATGTTTCAGCTTCAGTCTTCCGGGTTGACATTTTAATGTCCAGCCATAACTCAGCAGCTAGTTTAGTGAAGTTGCTCTTCTCTGACTTTGGATAGGAAGTGATGGCATGTTTGTTTGATCACCCTGTCCTCCCCACTGAATTTTTTTCTTGTATATCTTTTAGCTAAGAATTTGGGCAAGCTTCAGGTACCTTGCCCTGTAGCAGTGGTATCTAAACTTTCTTCAGTGTGGACCACATCTTAATACAGATTGTAATTGTACTAGCTACAGTCCCTCCACTTGTGCTTGCATAATTTCCCAATTGGCTACTACAGTATTTCCTTACATTCAAAATAGGAAAGCCTTTAGTGTATTGTAGCTGTCCAGAATACAGCAAATATCTTGCCTATTTTTGCTTTTTCCTTCTGTCCTGTCCTTTCTCTTCCCTTTCTTCCCTGAATACACTTCACTGTGGCTGCATGAACCATTTCCCCTCTCAGTCATGGTCAAACACCTGGTCCTCTCTTCCACCTTCACCCCAATAGCCCTCTCCCTTTCATGGCTGTCAGCTCTATTCTAGCTGGTGGCTCCAGTCCCTGAAGGTATCTGTGTTTCTCTTTCTCTGATGTTTTTGGATCCCTGGTAGAAGCATAGCTTGCTTTCAGGTGCTTCTGGTTCTTCTTGGCAATAAAGAGCCAGGATTACCTGTACAAGGAACTAGAAACAAGGAGAACCAGCAACTTGTGATTAGCAAGATCTATAATAACCACCAAGTGCTAGCAAACTAAAAGTGGTCTAAAGACCATTGTTTGTGGACTTGTTTACAGCTTTCTTTCTCCATGAGTTAAAAGATACTCAGATGCTCTCACCTGATGGATGTAAAATTCTGATCTGTCTTCGGCACAAGCTTCTGTGATGAGCAAAGTCATTTGTTTCCTTATGCTTCATGTACTTTAACTTTCTAAAAATCTTTCATTTAATTAGATCTGCTGGACCATCCCAGAATGCAGCTGGTTCTTCCGACAAAGCTTTTGAAGACTGGTTAAACGATGATTTCAGCTCCTATCAAGGGTAAAGTTATTTGACTTGCAAGTAATGTTTATTAAATTAGACACTTCTATATCAACCATTGTGTGTCATAGCCCTTCAGAATACCCTAGACTAAGGCCTTATTATTTGTCACTTTACATATGGCTCTGTTAATCCATTGGGCCATACCAGACTATGGTCACATCCTCATTGGGTGTAAAATAAGTGATAATACATGACAAAGGATTGGGTATAAAAGCATTAAAAGGGGCCTTTTCTTTCCTATGTATCAAGAGAAGATTTGATGTGCAGTGAAGCTGAGGCTTGTGAGTCAAATATAGACAGTAGCTTTATCACCATGGTGGCCTCCTGGTCTATGAAGCTTTCAGGTTCAATTGCCTAGAGCAAAGTGTGTGAAACTCAGGTATTTAATAACGCTACCACTAGGTTCTTCAGTTAATGCAGTGAGTTGTATGCAAAAAGAAACCACAGCTCTGAAGTAACTAACTGATCTATTATATCACAGAAGAAGATTTACTGAGATGATAAAATCTGCGAGGCTTTCTTGTCTGCAGTGCACATTCACTAGCTTTACATAATTGTGTAGTGGTGTTCTTACATGTTAGAAACAAGGTGCAAAAGTAGAGCTGTATGAGGGAGTCAAGCATGCAGTTTACCTGCACTGCTGATGCAAATTCTACCAATCCTTTACTTCCAGGTGTATGGAAATCTTTAAAACAAAGAAACAAAAATTCAGTTGTATCTTATATTTGTATTTATACTTGTACTTCTATTACAATATACTTGTATTTATATTTTCGGTCTGATAGTTTTAATGAAATCCATAATAATTACAATTGTTTTCTGATGGTGTGTGATTTAGTGGCCAAGAGAATCGCTATGTGGGATTTGGGAACACAGTCAACCCTCCGAAAAAGGATGATGACTTCCTCAATAATGCCATGTCTTCGCTATACTCGGTAAGGAGATTCTTTCTCTGAGCTTTCTGTGACTGCTAGCAGTATGTTCCTGTATTTGTAGCCCAGATTATGGAAATATGAATAGAGAGAAAATTAATAGCTGTAACTGGGAAATATGCAATGCATGTGTATCTGAGGAACATTGTTTATTTCTGTTGTTGACACTTGTGTGTCTTCTCAAAGCAATCGGATCAAAAGTCCTGACTCCGCCAACACATTAAGCCTAAAATGCTGATCAAAAAACAGGTGGAGGCAGTCCTAACAGGATTCCAAACATGAACTTCTTAACGCTAAAAGAATTGACCTCTCTACTATTGGCAAGGAATGTGCAACTACAAGTAGCAAACTGTTTACCAGGTCCAAGAGATGACCTAGTGATGGGCAATGGGAGTATAAATAGACAGTTTGGTGATACCTGATGTAAGGAAAAATGTGGGGAGATTTGGATTTTCCTTTAGGGATTGCTCATATTTGTCAGAGTATATAGTATCCTTATTTCCTTTCCCTCCAACACTCTCTTGTTGTCAGTCTCCACTCAGCCACAGAAGTATAGAAGTCAAATACCATTGCAAATGGTTACTTTCAGCATTAGGAACATGCAAAAGTCAATTTGCTCAGACCTTATTTGTATTTCATGGAACTCCTAGATGGGTTACGTCTTTAAGTGAAACCAACAAACCTCCTTGCCCCATCCCCGGTGGCTGCTTTTTTGTGCTCCTAGTTTCTTCTCTGTGACCTGACGATCCCATCAGAGATAATTCTAGCATGTCTGGAAGGTTTCCTTGGGTCTGCAGCTCTCATATTTGACATATGCCTAGGTGCTTTGCTTCTTAGAGTTTATTGCATGGTGTATGCAAGATTTAATTACAGCACCATGACCTAGTGTAGAGGCATTCAGACTTACTTTTCCATTCATCTGTACACCATCCTTCAAATACAGTTTTGTACCTTTCAAATATGGGGAAGGAATGGAGTAGAAGTTCCATATGGCACAGAACCCTAAAGAAGGGTGGGGGTCATGGGAAAAGGTGTTCACAGATGGGTGAAAAAATGTTTAGTATTCACATTCTATATCAAATTTATAAATGGCACAATTCACAAGCACCTGTATTATGTATCTCTCAGTTTTTTTTATAGTAAAATACTGCCGTATCATCTAAATCAGTGGTTCTCAACCAGGGGTACACATACCCCTGGGCGTACGTAGAGGTCTTCCGGGGGTACATCAACACATCTAGATATTTGCCTAGTTTTACAACAAGCTACATAAAAAGCACTAGGGAATCAGTACAAACTAAAATTTCATACAGACACTGACTTGTTTATACTGCTCTATATACTATATACTGAAATGTCAGTACAATATTTATATTCCAATTGATTTATAATTATATGGTAAAAATGAGAAAGTCAGCAATTTTTCAATAATAGTGTGCTGTGACACTTCTGTATTTTTATGTCTGATTTTTGTAAGCAAGGAGTTAAGTGAGGTGAAACTTGGGGGTACGCAAGACAAATCAGACTCCTGAAAGGGGTACAGTAGTCTGGAAAGGTTGAGAGCCACTGATCTAAAACTTTGTCAGACATTATTCAAATGTGATCTGATTGAAACTAGTGATTAAAATGCCCTCTTGTGACTAAACACACAAACTGCAGCTTAAACATAAACACCTTTTGCAAAGCGATTGAAGTTTTTAATTTGCATGAATTCTCATCCGATTGAGGAAAACAATTTTCCTTATAATATATGAGAGGAATGAACCTAAAAAAATCAAATACACATGTAAGGCTTCTCCCTCCCCCCCCCCCCCCCCATTATTATTCATTAGATGGATAATTTGCTGTATAGTTGATGCTGATTAGGCTGAGATCAGTTTAGGTTGTCTGTTTCCTGTGAGCCTACTTTTAACATCAGAATTACAAGAAATATCATCTTGCCATTTGCACATCAGCACCATCACTGTCATTCCATTTATCAGCATGAAACAAAGCAAGATGAGACTCCTAATGAAGGGATTTCACTGGAGTCTTTAAAAGGACTGTCGAGTATAGACCCTCCACCTTCTTTTATGGACTAGCTAAATTCACTGGAAAGCATGATGAGCAAAGCACCCTGACCTTTTCTGGTATTATTTTCAGCTTTTCTGCAGAGATGCTCACAAGTGTCCATGTACCACTGGAATATCCGTGCTTCAAAAGTGACATACGAACCATATGGGGCAGTTTCAGGGCGTATCTGATCCATGCAGCTGCTGTTAAGCAGTACTGAAGTAGTGCAGCTCCATAGCTTAACAAATTTACTTGCAGGTGACCTGCAAAGGAAAAAAAATCTGTCAGTGTCCCTTTATAATGTGCATAAAGAAGGCCTGAAAAGTATGCCAAAGCTTTTTTTCTGTTTGGTTGGTTGTTTTACATTAGAAATTCAAATCTTGTCGTCTTGTTTTTATTGAAAGATTCTGCATGACTGGGTAACTAATAGTATTATATCACAAGTATCAAGGAACTGGAAACTGAACAATTGAGAGAGGAAGAAAGTTTAATGAGAATGTTTAAAACTGTTCCCTTTTTCTTGGTAGCTCCTTATTAAATGCCTGACAAAAAACTGGGAGGAAAAAATCTTTATTATAGATTCCACACTCTATTACTAAGGGCTGAGAAAACTTCTGATTGAGTTTCCTGAACTTGATGGAGATCTCCAGGAAAAAAACAGGCAAAACAAGGCTTTGTATTCCTGATATTTATAAGGCCAAAAAAACAACCAGAAGTTGTTTTAGGCTTTCTTATAAACAAGAAAAAAAATCAGTAATGGATCTGCATCTGCTGCTTATGAGCCCCTTAATCCTTTTTTTTGTTTTGTTTGAATGCACTGGCTCTTGGCTCCCTTTTCAGCTTCTTCCAGGCTTATACTTAAGTTTCACTCTGCTCCTTGCCCTTTCCCCCAGATCTTAACTCTCACAAAACACAAACTAGTTTTGATGTGTCCTGTACTCATTCGGCCTCTACCAACGTTTTGTCTTCTCTTACTATCATTGTGAAAATGTTTGTATTTAGAGAGAAATGAAAGCTTTGTGAAGTTGTTTCTCCATTAAACCCATGTTCAGGATTGTTCATGTTACAGTCATTATAATTAGGATTTGCAGTATAGGAATGCACAAGAGAACAAGGGAAATTCACCGCAGTATTTTTTACAGTTCAGTGGAAATTCGCCACAAGCAAATCTGTCTCAATTAGTGGGCATCTCTTATGGCTACAGGACAGGATGTGCCACAGAATATATTGACTGTGTTTCACTATTACATGTTAAATTAAGCTTCCTCCTCCTCTTCCTCCTTTTTTTTTTTTGTTTTTTTTTTTTAAGGGATGGAGCAGTTTTACAACTGGAGCGAGCAAGTTTGCCTCAGCAGCTAAAGAGGGTGTAAGTAAACAAGAAGCTATTTCAGTCTTATTGTTGCAGTGGTATAAAGATTCTGTTAGCTTGATTTGGCCTCTTGACAGGGATTTATCTTGAAATAAATAATAAATGCTCCATATTGTAAGCTGAACCCCTGACGTCTATGTCCTCCTCCTTCCTATATACATACACCTCTACCTCGATATAACGCGACCCGATATAACATGAATTCGGATATAGCGCAATAAAGCAGCGCTCCGGGGGGGGCGGGGCTACGCACTCCGGCGGATCAAAGCAAGTTCGATATAACGCGGTTTCACCTATAATGCAGTAAGATTTTTGGGTTCCCGAGGACAGCGTTATATCGGGGTAGAGGTGTGTATATATAATTTAAAAAAATGGAAATGTTTATGTACTAAGTATAAGCAAAGCTGTGCATGGTCTTTGGTACAGGTTTTTGTATGCAGATTTATATGCACAGTGCATAAGAAGCTATGCAGTTTTTTTAGTTCAGTTTCTAAAAACTACACTTGGTACTGCATCTACATTTACAATGATAGGGAACATTACGGAGGCATAATCATGTTCGCAAGTGTGCTTATGTTCCATTCCTTTCCCTTTTGAGCTCTAGCATACCTTTTTCCAGATGTTTTGCATGCTGTTCTTTTGAACAGAATCTAAAAAGCTATATTCTACTGTGATTTTTGTTTTGCAGTGACAGGCTTGTGTTTTGTTCGTCTTTCAGAATTATGGTGATGAGCAGTATACCGTGTGTGTGTGTGTGTGTGTGTGTGTGTGTGTATATATGTATATATGTGTGTGTGTGTATATATATATATATATATATATATATATATAAATATAAATAAAATAGTATTGCAGTATTACATTCTGAAATTAAAGCAGATAGAATGAAGTAGAACAAGGAAGAATTATTAGAGTTTGAGGACTTGACAGACCAGTGGTTGAGAGCTAAAAATGTCTTAGGCATTTGATCCGTCCTTGGGAGTCTCTGCCTTCTTTGGTGTGCATAATTTTCACTAATGGTACTGATTAAATCATGAGCTGTGATCCCTTTGACCTTGCACTCAACAGCCTGAATCAAAGGGTAGGAGTCCTTGTTGTCCCACACCATATCAAGTACCAGCCATGTGACCACCACCTTATAAACATGTTCCAGCCTTGTCTCCCCTTTCCCACCACTGCAAGATCAAAGGGCCTAAACCCTGTCCTCACCCTCTCCCCATCGTCTCATGGGATCTCCATCTTCCAGCAGAGTTTCTCAGCTTTCAGTCACATTAAGTTGGCCACTTAAGGGGAAATAGCTGCTGGAGGTAGGTGCCTGACTAAGAGCCTCTAGAATCAAACTACATCCAAACTTTCAGACATCCCACCACAGAATTAAATGTAATTTTACTATCTAGTGCCAACAACTCTTGACAAACCACCCCACCCCACAGTTTGTGCCATTCTCATCTGCTTTAGGCCTCTCATTCCTATGGATTCATGAGAATTTCATATTTTGGACATTGGTCCTAATTCCTGTATTTTCCACGTATTTATTTTTGGATATGCATACACAGCTTTGGTCAGGCATTTCTGTAAATAATTGGAGCACTGCACATAGATATCAAGCGAAGAATAATTAACATTTATTTACCATTCTTTCATAGAATCATAGAATATCAGGGTTGGAAGGGACCTCAGGAGGTCATCTAGTCCAACCCCCTGCTCAAAGCAGGACCAATCCGCAGACAGATTTTTGCCCCAGATCCCTAAATGACCTCCTCAAGGATTGAACTCACAACCCTGGATTTAGCAGGCCAATGCTCAAACCACTGAGCTATCCCTCTCCTTGTTTAAAGGGGTTTTGTTTTCTGGGGCAATGGTGTGGATTAGCGCTGAGTCAAGCCAAGTTAGTGTTTTCTGCGGAAATTTTGCACTGAGCTGTACATTGTTGATTTGGTCAGTTGCTTTGTGTTTCAGTTTTTTAGTTCAGTAGATTTACTCTGAGCTATAAAGTCAGACTGATTTACTTAGAAAGCACATCAGGGAAAGATGGCGGTGAGGTGCCTAGAATTCTGAGTTCTGAGAGTGGAGTTTCTGGCAATACTAGGCTACTTTGTTTCCCCTGTCCTTATGCCCCCTTTTGGCAAATGGTTTTATATCTCTGTCTTGGGGATTATATAAGTAGCTATTGACTTACAATTAGAGCTAGTCAATATTTCAATATTTTAAAATAAAAAATGAGAAACTTTTTTGTGAAAATGTTTTTTGAAAAAAATCCCAGTTTTTGTTCGCTTCTATAGACAGTTGATACCTTCATAGAAGGATGGAAGGAGTGTACTTTCTTTAAAGCTAAACATGTTCTAAGAAATAGAGCGTGAAATCCTGGACGCCATTGAAGTCAATATCAAAACTCCCATTGGTTTCAGGTGGGACCAGGATTTCACTCACGATGTCTATTTATTAGGGAGAAAAAATCAAGTTGATCTAAACAAACTATTTTTTTTTTTTTTCCCCATTTTACAGGCTACCAAATTTGGATCTCAAGCAACTCAAAAGGTGATTAAAACAAGTAGCTCTGTGTCATTTACAGTAATTGGGCTTATTAGGAATCCGTACCAATTCTCTTTATATCAGTAGTACAAGATGTGTTGGATCTGGTCCTTATGAAACCAGGGTGTGTATCCTCAGTGCTGCATATTTGCATCTGTATAATTATACGCTAGGATATTGTCTCTTAAAAACTACATATTAGGTTTTACTCCCACAGGGATTGTGACATTTTTACAGTACATGTAAATAATGGGTGTAGTTTTATTTGCTATTGAAATTAAACAGTTGAATGAATGAATGGTTTGATGCCATACAATATTGTTATGATTGTGTTTCTGAGAAACTTAAGGATGGTTTCTCCTTAAAATATATGCTTCTGATTTTTGTGTGTGATCTGTAAGTAGGTGTTTTAATAGAATGCATGTGCTCATTCCATTGCATGAATTGAAAACAACAGCACATTTAATAATATTGTTGAATTAAGATGCTTGTGTTTAAACAGGCAACAATTTCAAATATACACATATTTTGTTTTTATACTAGGATTAAAGCGAGGACAGTCAGACCTGAATTGCCCACAGCTCTGACATAAACATGGTCTGTTTTTGTAGAACATTTTTGAAAATCCCAAGCTGGAAAGCAAAAATCTGGCTTTACTCCTTGAATTCCCCAAGGAATATGATTAAGTGCCAAAATCTAAATGTTATGTTTTGGGTTGGAAGGGGATTATCTATAGTACATGAAAGAGTCTTGCTCTTGAACTGTGATTTAAGTGTGTACAGCATTAGCCTGAGCTACATGGGACATTGTTCAAAACAGGGTTGGAAAATGCATGGGAAGGCTTAACGGTCAGCAGGGAGTTACAGCTGCTAGTATGTCACTGTCTCACATTATAGGCTAACATTATATGTTTTTGAAGGATTAACAAAGAAAACGTCACTCAGAAGTACTTCAACTTGAACCCTACCTAAAAGCCATAAGATATTTATAGCTTGGCTTGAATGAGAAAAGTTCAGTGTTATGCAGGTCTTCCTCTACATATAATTTTCCATTTTGAAACCTATTCTTTATATACTGTTACATTTAGTGTGGGTGTACATCTTTATAATATAGAGAACTAAATGTAGAAGCTTATCAGATCTACTGACAAGCACTTTAGCAGATTGTTCTTCTTCAGCCATATTAATGATAGCTCAAATTTGCTAATTAACAACCTGATCTGTTGCTTTATAGCACACATTTAGAATCTGGCTGACTCTGAACTGTGGCGGCCATGTATTTCGTAATGAAGTTTAGCCACTGGACATTAAACAGACTTCTGCTCATTATTACTCTTGTCAGTAGAGCCTGGAATTGGAAAAGGATCATGCGACTTAACTTGCCTGAAAAATGCTTCAATTTTTTTGCTAAAAGCTGCTTCTTCTACCTTCCTTGCTCTCTTTCTCTTGTGCTGTCTGGGTAAAGTTTTGGGGCTACAAGCAGCAGCCAGAGCCGGTAAAGCACTCACATATAATCACGTGCATGGGCGCTTTTTGTCACAGTTCGTGCTGAATATGTGTGTTTGCTCTTGAGCTGTCTTTTTTTATTTCCTCTTTTTAAGTCAGTCATTTTTTTTTTAATAGTGTCGTCTGCATCATTCTGTAATGTCTCTTCAAGCCTATTTAAAATAGGTTAAATTAGTAAAAAAAGAGCCAGTTTTGCCCTCTGGTATGTTAGAGAACATTCGGTACTGCAAGCCATGCTACTTGCACAGTTTTTCCTTCTGCATGTGGAATTCAGGAATGATGTATATACAGAATAGCTTTGGAGTGCCATTTGAAGCCAGAATTTAGTAAGAAAGCCCCCACAGAAGGAATATAGTGTTTGTTGTACTGGATCACACCATAGGATTATCAGGTTTGATATCCTGTCTTTCACAGTGGCCAATACCCAATGTTTCAAAAGAAGACAAAACCGTGTCACCCACTGCCCCTTTCTATATCCATCTGCAAAATTGTGCAGCCCTGTTACTGTACAAAAGGGTCCTCCCTGATATCTGCAGTGATCCATTACTCCCTTAAGCATCATATTTGATATTCTTTGATCACTAACCGTAGTTAATTATACCTTTTAATGACAATAAATTGGACAATGTCTGAGTTAGTAGGCATAAAATAGGCTGATTCTAATTCTGTGGGATTTTTGTGTTTTGGGTTTTTGCAAATATTTGTTTATAAAGAGAATAAATGGCAGCAGCTTAGCACATAAGCAGCTCTTCAAGAACTAATCAGCGTAGTGTACTTGTCACCCAATGGTTGGTTAAAGATTGTTTTATTATGGACAGTGAGAAAAGGAGTAATTTTAACCGTTATGAAAAATTCCAAGTGACTCTGTCCTTTTAATATTGTCCTGCCAAACTCATTTGTGACTTCCTCACTCTTACAGTATGGATTCGCATGCTGTAAACCTCCTCTCTAAAGTACAGCAGCCTTATGCATCTATCCTAGATATAATTACAGTTTTCCTCCTAGAATGTCTGCACATCTCAGCAGAGAGAGAAGCTTAAGCCATAAAATAGTTTAATCATCCTTTCACGTGGGTATGACTGTGGCGTATTGCCTAGAAACAGGGAATTGGTTATTAATAGATGACATTGCCTGCATCACAGGAAGAGAGTATTTCATTGTGAAAGAATTAATATTCTTTCCTGATGAAAAGGCCGGTGTCTGCTGATAATCCCATTAACAAGAACATGTAAGGAAGGGTACAGTTCTCAGAGTTTTTCAAAATATTTGCTAAAGCTCATGGCTTAGGAAGAGGCCTGCCTTCTGGGCTGTTGCTGGTTGAAAGGTTGTGCCAGTTCAAGGACAGACCTTTCTTGGGCTGTGGGAACTTTCAGCAGCCTTTATTGCCTTTTATCTGTGTTTTCTTTTTCTTGTAGCACTTTCTCTGTAGTGTTGCATTGTGTGTGCTTTTAGCTCACTATGTTGCTTGTATGAGGCAAAGCTTAAGGCTTTTCTGTCCTATGTTCTTTGAGTCTCCTGCAGGCTAGTTTTTTGGCAGTGAATGTTGGCTGTATTTTATGAAGAAAAATATAACTGACTTTACTTTTGTTTTGCTTTTAAATAGGCATCAGAGTTAGGTCAGACTTTAAATGAAAATGTTCTCAAACCTGCACAGGAAAAGGTAACTTTGGAAATGAGTAAATTACTTACAGAGTATTTTCATATTACCAAGGAAGTCATTTTGTTTTTTCCTGCCACAAGGAGTTAGTTTGTTGACAGCATGTTCAGTTATTTTACATATCCTCTCCCAATAGCAGTGGGAAAATGCCAAATAATTCAATATTAAAATTACAAAATAAATGTTCAAGTGGCAAAATTGTTCTCATTTTGACGGGCTTCATGTCAAAATCAATCCTGAGAGATCCCCATTTTCTCTTGCTTGGTTCTCCTTCTCATGAGATGCCCTGTTACAGCCATCTTCCTTCATGTGATGGAAGAGTGGTTGGGACTCCATTCAGAGTCCCTCATGGCACCTCTTAATTGGCTAGAGAGGTCAGTGATAAGCAAATATTTTGATTAGTAATATTACCTTAGTGAGTGTTTAATTTCATAGAAGTCACACTTCTGACTGCTAGTACTGTTCCCTTTCAAATAGCGTCTTGAAGGCATATACATAAGGGTTAACATAATCTGATCAGTAATGTGGTTTCTAACTGATTGCAGACAGTTCTTAAAAGAAATATGTTCTTGATTTTTTTTTTTTAGATCCTTGTCTTAATCAGCTAATCTCAAGGATTATCTGTATTCATAAAACAGAATATACTCAATCTTTATCCTATTTAGTCATTTTACTAGGAAAAGATTAACTGTTAGTGTCACTTCTGAAATTATTGCTATATTGTTTACTGGAATTTAGAATAGTTTTAAAGCATCAAAAGCAGGAGTAAAAGCCTGTCTCCTCACAGGTATAGTGATTTACACTTTAGCTGTAGATATATGGATGAATGCAATGTGTGCTTTCCAGGTAATCCAGCTGGCAAAAAAAGAAAGCTAAGCAGCCATTCTGAGTGAGTGGTGCTGGCTAATTTTACCTATTTTAATCATAGAGTCTCCATAATGTGCCAAATATTGCCTTCCCTGTTAATGTGTAACACAGTTTTTATATCTTTTTCCCAGGTGACGTGCATTTAATTTATCCTGTACGTCTACAGATTTTAGATCAGTCCCAAAATTTGTATAATTAGGCCTTCATGTATGAGAATGTGATGATCTACTTACCTATAAATCTTTTCCTAAACATACTTATTTTTACTGTTGTGGTAAATACATTAATTTTTGTTTCCTGGGGGAACATAGTACCAGCACTGTAGAATATGGATTCATGTTTGATTTGAAAAAATTAGCCTATCACCCAAGTAAATCAGTCCTCTTGTATCACACACTCATTACATTGTCTTTTTTTCATATGGAGTTTTCCACTCTCTAATGTGATCCTGAATCATTTCCAGAATAGAATCTTTTTACAGAAATGAATCTTCTTATCAAGATTTTTGTTTTGGTAGAGATGGTAAATTCTGTATAGATGCAAACAGGGTAATTTATAATACAAAGTATATTGCAGCCAGTACGTTTTCTTAGGGTGCTTTTCCTGTAGCTGACTTCCATGTGTTGGAAGACTGCTGTAGTGAAGGATGTTGCACACTAGCTAAGGTAAATAATGGCAAACTGCCCTTGGGCAATGCTTTGTTAGTTTATTCTAAATAAAATTATCTTCTACATAATTGACAGCAGCCGGTGACAGTCTGGCCCATGTGTAACTATATCAGGTCACTTGTACACTTTTGTATTGGGATGATTGTTTTACACCAGCTGAGAAACTAAATTCCAGTGGGCTCCAAATGACCAGGAGGCAAGGATATCAAGACTTTTGTAAGGTTTCCAGCAGATTTGTGTAAATGATAAAAACCTATTTTCTTGGAACCCATTCTTATAGGTGCCTTGTTTTCAGTTTCTCCAGAATACTATTTTATGCAGTAAAACATATTCTTTATAAATGGCCATGCAGTAAGGTTTTTTTTTGTTTTTGTTTTTTTAAATCTGTGTGGGGTGTTTTTCCCACCCCCACTCATCCCCCAGTTCTCAAGTTTCCTGTAATAGTGCCAATCCAAAGCCCAAATAAGTCAATGGAAAGAGTCCCACTAACTGTAAAGAGCTGAGGATCAGCCCATTAGTAGCAGCAGACTTCATATTTTATTTTCTTAACCTCATTGTCTATTGAGTCAAATATACTTTAGCTTGTTTTTAACTTTTGTCTCTAGCTGTTATCACAAGCTGTCCTGTTTTAAGCTGTAGACACCATTTTGTTTCATGACTAACTACTGACATTTTGATTCATCTAGGTGAAAGAGGGAAAAATGCTTGATGAGTTCTCCATGGGGGTATCTCATCTGGCCACCAAGGTACGAAGGGGCCTGCCTACCCATTAGGAGGCCAAATACTAAGCCAGTCTCCATATTCTTTCATGTGCACAGGTCACACAAACACAAGTGATAAGTGTCTTATAAAACAAAATCCCTAAGATGTGTTAGTTTCTGCTTTTTGCTATTTATCTGTACTCAATACAAGTAATCTGAGAAAGGGATATTTTAAACACAAGATTGCTTATGCCATTGACATAATAAAATAGCTTGATACACAGACAGATTGTGAGTGTAAATAGCTACAGGTACATTAACCAGATCTTAGTAGCATCTGAATGATGCTTACACTGACAGCGAAATGTAGACCTGTAATAGAATCAGTGACCCAAATGTTTGACAGTAAATGTGTGCTAAAGAATATGGAGACAGCTTAAATAAAATATGTACACTTATTAACCTTATTAATGTGTGTACCTTTTTCCCATTATGCTGACATTGCTCGGTAACGTGGTAAGTGCTCCCTACTACTGCTAGTTTCAGGACACTTGCAACATTTTATAACACGCTATTTCAGTCATTTGCACAGCATTGCCTAGTGCTGTTGATGTCCTAATTGTTGTGGGCAGTTAAAGTCAGTATTGGAAGTCACAGTGCCAGGAGTTTTTCCTGTTTGAACGGATGGGAATGATGGAATGCTTCAACAAAAAAGTGAATTAATGTCTTGTCCATTTTGCTCAAAGCCTGGCAATTTGCCCCATCATACATAGAGCCCCAACTGGTGTATTTGGATCTCAGAATGGTGCTCATTATTGATGCCATTTCATGGGTTGTGCTTATGATCTCAGCATAACAGAAGGAAAATGTGTTTTGGAATTCCTCCAACAGTAACATTCAAGAAATTAACTTTTGGCCTGTCCACGTGAGCACTGAAATGAAATTGCTTTTGGAAACCGTTGGTGAAACCACTTAAGTATATTTACACTATTGCTGTGTGACTAAAGTCAGACCCTGCAGCAGATCCGGAACTTAGTTAAACATTGTTGTTTTTGGATTAACTCTGGATTTACATCAGGGTAATTGAGATCAGAATGTGGCTCATAGTTTATGGTAATTTGATGAATCACATTCAAAATTACTTAGCATCCAAGCACTATTCTATAGCTATATTTGGTTTAAAACTTGCTTAGCATGGACACAAGCCTTGTTAAACAGTATTATATTTCATAATGGTTTAAAAGTTCTAGACAGGGCTTCATAATCTAAAGATATCAAGTTAGGTCTGTTCCAGTATTTTCTCGCTTGTGAAGATCTTTATGTAGCTCTAGCCATGTACCTAGTTCCTTATACCTGTTTATTAATGTATGTTACTAAATTTCCATCAAGTCCCTGACTTTTATTCTTGCCGATTTACAAAATCTACAGTGAAACAGATTGGCGAGTGTATGGCTAGCTCCCCAACTAATGACCAGAACGGCTATAGATGCATGCTAAACTGGTGCTTCGCCACTTTTCTGGGGGCACACCATTTATGCTCAAAAGTGGGCATACCAAGTTGGAGTCTGGGGCTAAAAACACAGGGTCTGAGTCCGTTGCCCAGTACTTTATGCTGCCATTCACACTAGTGCAAAGTGGATGGAAAATATTACCATTCTGAACTGGTAATGTTTTGCATTTTCACAATGACATCACAAAATCCAGCACAATGGAGAATCAGGTGACCCTTCCTGCTCCGAGCAATCCCAACATTTTCATCAGAAAATTCAAAGGTAAAAGTCAAAAGCTGTCACTACCAACAATCAGGTGAAAAAAATAAGCCCTGGTTGCCTATCCAATTTTTTTGTTAATTGCTCACTTGTTAAGCACTGTCCAGTCAATGTTTTTCTTTCATGGACCTTGCAAAATCATAATGAAAGCTTAATAGCCTAGACATAACAATGACTTGCTATGATGATGACAAAAGAGAGCCTATTTTAATTGCCATACTGGCCTCCTGAGTGGGTGAGTCGAACTTTGTGAGGCTGCTTTAAATATGTCTTCATATGCACAGGGGTGTGTTCTGGGGTGGTGCATTATGGATTTTGGGTAGCAGTCTTTATTAGAACAAATGTGTGAGCTCAGTCCAAATACGTGGTAATTCATTAAGTGTGAAATAACCTTGTTCTTTTTTTCCAGGTTCAGGGGGTTGGCAGTAAGGGATGGCGGGACGTCACCACTTTCTTTTCCAGCAAATCAGATGATCTTTCTGAAAGGTACTCTTTTTTTTTTTTTTTCTTCTCTCTAAAATACATGGATTCATAAAGTATGTCAAGATATACCCTGTGTTTTCCCTATAATATAAAAGTAGCAGGGAAGACTTTTCCTCAGCAATACTAGTGTATTTCATTTTAGTAGGAAGAAACATTTTTCTTTCATCAAATCTTCACTAGTTTTCAAAAGTAATAAATACCATTTAATATAATAAACAGGTAATACGGGGCACACAAATACGATTTAATTTAATTTAGCTGGTCATCAGCCCTGAGTATTGCATTGAGACCAAAATAGCTCTGAATGTAACTTTTATTAATTCATACCAATTCAGATGGAATTACATCATCTTTTATATTTTCAAGGTGATTACCCAAACCAGCAAAATCTGGAAATTAAAACCCAAGGCAGACTCCGTTCTAAATATATTCATTCAAGTTCTTCTGCCTTGCTCATCTTTGTCATCTCCAAATTGCTTTGAGCAAAGGATCCTGGCACTATTGTTTCGTCTGTTCTTGTTGGTTAATGTCTCAGCTGTAAAATTAAATGCAGAAATATCATTTTTTCCCTGCAGAAATACCTAATTTATAAGGTGATGACAGACAAGCTTAGTAGGAGCTGGGGGTGAAGGTTTCCGCTTAAGCAGATTTATTAATTCAGTAATGTGAGATGAGTGGTACAAAAGTTGATATTTTCCCCCATCTCTGATCTTTTTGCTTTAAAGACCACCTGAGGGAGACAGCTATCAGAACAGCGGAGGAGAGGGCTACCAGAACAATGCTGTAGATCAAAGCTTCTGGGAAACCTTTGGCAACTCAGACCCACCCAAGGCTCATAAATCCCCAAGCAGTGACAGTTGGACCTACGTGGACAATTCCACAGAGAAGAAGAGCTCTGATAGCTGGGACGTCTGGGGTTCGGGGACGGTCTCCAACAACAAGAACAGTAACAGCGACAGCTGGGAAAACTGGGAGACCAACTGGGAAAATGCTGGAGGGGAGAGCAAGACCAAAAAATCCCCTAAGAAAATGACAAAAGTGTCTTCAGCAGCTGATGATGGGTGGGATAACCAGAACTGGTAGGCCTCTGTAACCCTGCTTCGCATGGCGAAGGAAGGAGTCCATGCTCTCTGATGAAAAAAGTTTCACACACAGCTGGATTAACATGGTTGTCCTTATTGACCTGTTACCTTGTGCTTCCCCTTCATTCTCCTTTCTTCTGTTCCAGTTTAGAAAAACAAATAGTGTCTCAGTCCCATCATGACCATATGAAGATATGGCTGTCCCATCGTAAAGGATAGTAATAGATATATTCTCCTCACCATAGCGCTATTGGAGCTGGGTATACTAACTTCTTAAAATGAGAATTCAGAGGAACAAATCAGTGCAAGCATGTTTTCATGGCACAATATTGCATGTGTAGTTTCTTAGGATTGCTCCTCCAGTATTCCTAACTTCTAATGAAGTTCTAGAGAACATCTGGGGTGGGGTGATGCAGGGAAAGGAGGGGATATATCTTCAACAGATAGCCAGCAATTGAACGTGTGAACTGCAGTTAAATAAGTACCAGTTTAAATGCCTCTCTCTACTGCTGGGACTGCATTAAATCTGGCATTTAAAAATGGCCGTTAAAACACTTTTTATTGAAGCTGTATTTTTAAACTTTGCAAGGTTTGAGAACTTTTTTTAAACCTTTTTTTTCTTATAGAGAGAACTCCTAGATGAGAAAAAAAACTAGAGCTAGATAATTATTAGTATGTAACTCACCATTTTGTCAGCCTGACCATATAGGAGTGTTCATAATGGCACCACTTCTTGCCCTTTTGATTTAGGGATATACACAGTGCAGATTTTCTGCAGGTGTATCATGCAGAGTTATGGTATTTTTCCCTTTAACTATTAAGAAGTGTCTTCCTCTCTTTAGCTTTCTTCCTTCCAGATTCCTAAGTTCACCTGCTATGTTTTTGTTAAAATGAAACCTTTCTCCTCTTCTGCTTGAGCTTTTATCAGCATGTGTTGACCACAACAGCAATGAAACTTTGGAAAAATCCAGCGACAGTAAGCAAAATGGGAGAAGAGAGGGAAAATAAAACATTGTTAAAGATAGAGACAAGCTAATTTTGATGAATAGATGAATAGAACTCTGGATTTAACAGTGAAACTTAAATTCAGCAGATTGATTAATCTTCTCTTCAATTGTCAAATAGAAACAATTTTATAATTGTTTAAACCACCTTTTCCTCCACAATTTCCCTAATACCTTTAAAAAAAAAAAAAATTCAAAGAGACTCTAGTCAGGTCTGAGCTTTGATTTTTATTTTTTTAACCTTCTTTTCATGATTTATAAACCCATAATCTTTGAATATGGAAAACTAAAATAGAGGAATTCAGATATTTCCTTTAACGAAGGTGTCTTATGTTAAGTATCTGTCTGCTGTGGATGGGGTGTAGCTCTATTTTTTTATTGTTACTGTGGTGTAATGTCGTAAATATACAATATAACTGAATATTGTAGTTAGAAGTCACTTGAAAACTTCAAATCATGGTGCCATTGGATAATACTTCAGATACCAGTGTGGAATTCTGTACCGTGGACATTATTTGTGAACCTTTTGAGAGTAAGAATATCTTTGTATTGACAAGCTGACCAAATGATAGCTGATGCTGATCGTTTGATAAGTTTTCTGTCTCAGCTATTGCTCAGTTTCTGTCATTCACCATGGAGAAGGTTCAAATTTAACCAGTGGATATTGGCCATAAATTAACTGTCTTCAGCAGCCAAAAATAATGATAATAATCATGAATTACCCAAAAGTATTAATGGTTTCTTTATTTATAGTCTAAGTAGTAATATCTGTATTTATATTGTGGAGAAATTTTGACCTTGCAGGATTGTTTATTGTATTTCTATCACTATAGTCTTTCTAATTATCCGCTGAATATTTTTCTGATCTGTTTTATCCCCTCTTCCATGCTGCTCCCCTATCCTTTATCTCAATGGTTTTCTCTTGATTTAGTACCTTTCAGTAACCTTTTGGTGATCTGTTGAGACCCACACCTAACCAGAGTACTTTACGCAATGCTAATAATTATCCAGAGTTTGCTTGTGCCAGAGTAATGCAAGGCTTTGTGTGTCACACTAAGGAATCCTAGTTGCTGAATGACCCTTTTTAAAATGGCAGCAGCACAGCAAGATCTAAGACTCCGATGCTTCTTGTGGTAGTGGCACCATTTTCAAGAACATTTACAGCCAGAATCCATACGAGTGGTTTTACTGGAATTTCTGCTCTTCTGTTTCAGAGATATTGTTGTCATGGCTTGACTGCATGTTAAACATGTAACAATTCTTGTATTTTATGCATACAGTTCTGTTACTTGTTCTTCCTTTCACTTGTCTACTGCCCAGTTTGAAACTAATGCATGTACTTTGAAGGCCATGCTGTGTAATTTGTACGTGAAGTGGTATTGCCCAGTCCTTGACTCGCAATTATCTTTTGTGAAGTGTTGCAGTAGTAGTGACAGCAAAATGCACCTGATTAGCTGGGTTGCCCGACTTCTGAAGTTGTGTGTCTAAAGTGATGTGAAGCTGATTCAGCTTCCCGTGTTCTATTTTATTACTGTCTTTTTTCACCAGCCTCCTGAAATAGCTTTCTGTAATAGGTTGAGCGATCTATTTAAAAATAATTTGATGTGCATATACTATTGTCCCTATTCTCCCCACTTTTGTGGTTTGCCTAATAGGGAATTGTTTACATCACACTTGCAGCTAAGATTGGCTCAACATAGTTTTTAGGCCTATACTTGAACATAGTGAAAATCAGAGCCCTGACTGAGCAGAACTTCGTAACAGTGGTGTTCTTCCAGTCCAGGAGACAGTGAAGGAATAGCTTCCTCCTTTGCACTGTTGTGGGGAGTCCTGACGTACCCTTACGCTTCCAGAGAGATCTTGTAGGGTGGTTAAAAAGTAGGATTGTGGTGGAAGATACAGATGGAACAGTAAAACTGGGCCTGTTGCTCAATCCAAGTGCATGCATTTCCCATTCATTTTAGGACTGCTGAATCAAAAATGAATTTTTTGTTCATCGAAATCCAGATGGTGTAGCATGTCTTTGAGTAGAGGTGAGAGGAGGGTGAAACTAGGGCATTTCCTTTGGCCAGTTTTTGTTCTCTTTGTTTTTAGTTTATTAGCAGCCATTTGAAAGCTGTTCAGTCAGGGGAGGGCGGTATCGAAGCCCAGTTCTTAGTGGAAATGTTTTCTTATCCTAAAAAACACCCTCACAGCTGGCACCATTGTATTCTTGAGACGTACCAATAACTGAATGGTGGAGCCTCAGCTGCATAGACGTGGCCCAGCCCTGAGTTTGAGAGACATTCTCAGGGTATGCAAGCCTGTAGTGCCACAGTATGCTGTGCCTGTTTTGTGGATAAGCAGGACTTCTGTTTTCAGAACTCTGTCTTGCACCTTTCACTAGCATGAAAAAAAGATTGTTTTTTTTTTTTTTTAAATATAGGGGAGATGGACACTAGAGAAATGGTGATTGGGGAAGTTTTCTATTTGATAGTGCATCACCCAGGCTAGCCTTTCCAGTGTTTCAGTCTCCATTTCATTTAAACTGACGGATCTCATCAATGGCATATTTACAGCACAGAACTTCTAGGGCGTTCAAACTCAGTGCTGTTTGCAAAGGAACAAAACATCTTAGTTCTTGAGTGTTCCCAAACCAGATCTTCTGCTTCTAGCATTTAGGATTTTGAAATGTTGCTTTCATTTTGTCTGAAAGCCTGTCACTGGTTACTAAATTTCAAGAAATCTTTGGCCAACTCTCCTTAATTCTTGATCTGTACGATAATGCTGCTGTTTTTTTCCCACTCCAAACATTGTAACATTCCACAGGTAAATAATGTATTTCAGTGTAATAATCTGTGCAATAATTTAACAAGTGTGAGTGAAACCTCCTCTGTATTTTGATCCAGGAAATAAGATTTAAAGATGCAGTGCCCCTTCTTGAGGTCAAAATAGCAATCAACGAAAGTATGTCAGTATCCCTGTTGCCTTTGTAAGTGATCTAATTTTAAAATCCCTGCCCAAGGAGGGTTTGTGCAATCTAGAGCTGAAATAAAAGTAAAGAAATGGAATCTAATGCCCATTACTAGAGTGTTGGATTGTAATGGCCTAGAATGACCTCTTCTAGAGCCATTTTTATGCCAGTAGAAGTTTGGTAAATGCGGGGGGTACTGTATCTTTAATTTTCCTTATGTGTTATGTGAAGTTCACAGGAATGGCAATTTCCGTGAACAATATTCCTTGTTCTATGGAGTGGTACTGGACTTGAGCTGCAGTGTCCTCTTTTAAAAGAGCATTACAATAAAGCAAAGAGAAATGGAATAGAGCGGTGTCAATCTCCTGAAGGGACTACACTTAATTTAAAAGCCTAGGAAATACCATCCCCTCTGTGTGGGCCTCTCTTTTTGTCTTCAATACAGTGAAACCTGATTTAAATGATCACTTAAGGGATATACAAAATAGGTTGTTTAATAGAGGAGGTCTTGCTAACAAAAGTGAAGCGGATTGTTACTCAAATAAATGGATAGTGTGGGGTAATCTAAAGATAGGATAGCATCCTAAGAAGGATAGTCTCTTACTGAAAATGGGCTGGTGCGAAGGAACAGCATAGTGGCATACCTCATCCCTGACATGGAATCCTAGGGCAGCTAAGTGGTGTCATTCATGTCTTTGTGTAGTTGGGATCACACACGTTCTTGACTGGAGGTTAGTGACTGTGACATGAGCTCACCTGGGCAGTGGCTGGGTTTAAAGGTGATTGTGAAGGAGGGAGGAAATTGGGGAGGGGGGCGGGTTGTCAAGGGGGAGGGGAGCAGCTATCATATAAAGATTCATGTTTAACCGTCAATTTGATGAAAGACCTCCAACACTAAATCCTCCTTTTTAAAGTTTATTTGTTTTAGAAACAGTTTTGGACAACATTTCACATGTGGTCTCAGTCCTTTATTTAAAGGTGAACTATTAAGTAGAAATGAACAGTGAGTTAAGCACAGATTTATGTGCTCAGCGATCTCAGTAACCAGGCCGCAGGAGCATCTGCCATAGAAATAAGAACATTTTTTAAAAATAGAATGTTCGCTTCTATGAAATCCACTATTTGGTTAATGCAAGATTTCAGAGAATCATGGATGTGGCGAATACCTGAACTGGGTTTGATTTACATTATGTGAATCTAGCCTCTTCGAGAGAGTTCATAAATGGTCTGAGACTGACCCCTAAAAATTTACAGATCTTGAACTATTACCTCTTTGATCGATCAGGACTGAATCCTTCTTGCCTTGTTCACACAAGTAGTTGGATTGACCCAGGGGGCTGTGTCTACACGAGAGAAGCGAACTTGGTAATTGAACTTGTGCTAGACTGCCAGACTAAGTATCACCTGTGCACTGGGTCCATTCGAATCAGTCCATTTGATTTAAGGTTTGTCCCCCGGCACCACTTGAGTACTGCTACACAGTTGCCTACCAAATTACATTTGTGTAGACAAGGCCTTAGCTAGGATTACTCTGAGTAAAGTGAGCAGGGAATCTGTTTGACCATCAGCCTTGAAGGCCAACCACTCAGCAGCATACAAAAGCACCATGGAAAGGCTTAACAGGTTGCACCGTGTATTTGGAATGTCAAAGCACCTTACACACGGAGCAAGAGCTGAGCAGGGAGCACTGGAGTTTGCAGCCTAGAGAAGCCTGTGGAAGATGGCTTTGGGGGAGGCCGATGCTGTCAACCCTACAGTGAAGGAAATGATGGTTGCTGACAATCAGCTATATTTTGGGCTTTGTCCCTTTTCTGAAGTGTCGTTCAAATACTATGATACCTGTTGAATGAGCAAGTTCACTGTCCAGTGGTATTACTGGTGAACAGCCAGCGGCCATTCACAACAGAGGTGGATGGAATAGCACCACCTAGTGGTTCACCACCCATTTGATTTTAAGGATTTCAAAAGAATCTGTTTGTGCATTCTGAGGCGTTCGACAGTAAGCAGCTGGGCATGCTGAATAAATGGCAGATTGCAGTCACACTATCCCAGGCAATCTGAGAGAATGCCACAAGCCATTGACTGTACATTTGGGGTTCTTTGCTCACATGCTATAACTGCATTAATGATACTGGATTAAAATGAGCGTTGGCCTCTGAGAGGTGCTTGCCAGTGATCCATGAACTGACTGGCCTCCATTGCTTTTCCCAAACTGCACAG